GAAAAAAAAACATGAAAAAGGATCTCCAATAAATTATCATTTTTCTTTTCTGTGAACTTATGTTGTTATGGTCCAAGCCCTCTTCCCCCAAGTTATGGCACTAATGCTCAAGATTTTGGCATTGAGAGCTAAACTTGACTTTTCTTCCTTAATGATCACAATAAGGAAAAAAAAAAGGAATCCTTTATTTTTCTGGCTTTCAGAATATCTAGGCTTACATATTTTTGAAATATTTGTGTATAAATGTGTTCATAAAAATAGCCTCCATGTACTCAGTGCCTGTACTTGCTATCAGGCCCTGGAAGGACTGTCCGTGCATGTTATCTAATCTTTGTGCCCTGTCATTAGGTGGCATTCATGTTGTATCACAAAGGAGAAAACTGAAGCCCAGCAAAGCGAAGGTCACATAGGAAGTAAACCGGGAACTAGGATTTAACCCAGATCCATTGATTCTAAAGCCCATGTTGTTCGTCTGCCAAGCAAAGAGCAATGACAATCACAGCCAGGACACTCACAACAAGCTGGTGTTTCCCTGTTGTCTCCACTGGTCTCCCTGCCCCCATGCACTCTATCAGCCAGGAGATGTCCAGCAGCTCCAGCTTCGAGCTGGCTCTGATGTTCTGTACCTGAAGCCACTCCAGGACATCGGAACCGGAATTGTTCTCTGCTACAATGTGGGTGACAGAATCACTGGAAAAATGCAAGAGAAAGTTATTGGCTTAAGTAGATTTGAAAGCCAGAAGTTCTCCTCTGTCCTTGAGGTTTCCACACGTTCCATCTGATGGAGAAAGACGCCCACTAGACCAGACCCTAGGCCCAAAGAATTCGGTCCTCTGTGTAAGAAATCCTCTCTATTTTAATTAGTGAAGCAACCAGGGGATATGTGTCACATGTCAGATGCAAGAAAAATTAAGGCAATATTAACAAGACTGTGGTGTCAATGGAAAAACCAAGGTCCAAGTAAGATGGAAGATGAAATTTTTCTTAAGGTGACATCTTGCACTCTACATGTGGTTTGGTGTGCCACTTCAATTGTATTTGTAGAACATTTTAATATAGTGGCTTTCCAACTTGTTTAACAGTGATCCACAGTAATAAATACATTTTATATCATGACCCAAAATTCAAGTAGAAATAGACACAGATGTAGGTATGCTTACCTGACTTAGTCCATTTGAACTGCTATAACAAAATACCTTAAGTGGGGCTAGTTTATAAACAACAGAAAGTATTTCTCATAGTTTTAGAACTGGGAAGTCCAAGATCAAGGTGCCAGCTTATTTGGAACTGGGAAGTCCAAGATCAAGGTGCTGGCTTATTTGGTATCTTGTGAGGGACCATTCCTTATAAATGGCACCTAACAGGTATCTTCTTATGGTTAAAGGGGAAGACAGCTTTCTGGAGCCTCTCAGGGCATCAATCCCCTTGACTGGTGGGACAACCTTCATGATCTAATCACTTTCCAAAAGTCCCACCTCATAGCATCACCTTGGGGGATTAAAATACAAATTTTGGGAGAACCCAAACATTCAAGCCACAGCAACATCCCCATAAATTGCTTTCACAATCCATTGATAGATTGTGACCAACTCTGGGTAAATTTTGCTTTGTATGTCTTGAAGCACACTCTTGTGATGTCATCCAGGCAGGGCTCTCTCTCTCTCTTTTTTAAAAAAATATTTATTTTTTACTTATAGGTGGGCACAATGTCTTAATTTTATTTTCATGTGGTGCTGAGGATCAAACCCAGGGCCTCACACATGGTAGGCGAGCGGTCTACCTCTGAGCCACAACCCCAGCCCAGGGCTTTCTTCCCTAACAATGACTGGACGTTTTCCATGGTTCAGACTCTGTCCAAGTGCTCCACATACATCATCTCACTTAATATTCACATAGCTCCACAAGTAATTTTTATATTATTCACACTTCAAAGACAGAAAACTGAAGAACAATGATGTGAAATGACATCTTGAAGGTCACACAGCTCTTAAATGGTATACTTTTTGATTGACTTAGGGCAGTTGTGTCTAGTTTTCAACAAGTCTTCATAGTTAGCATCACATCATTGGGCCCTATGATTTTTAAGGCCCTTTCCTTTCAAATTGTCTATAAATCTGGGAAATGGTGAAGGCAAACCAGGCATTCAAGAGAAAAACAAAATTATTTTCTCTTCCTTATCCTATTTCTCTTCCTTGACTCTCTCTTCTCCTTCTCCTTCTATTTGACTGAATCTTCAGTCCATTGGGTATTTGGGGGTTTGTGGTTACAGGCACAGTCTTAGATTCCTTGTGGTGGTGGTGGGACAAAGGGCACGAAAGAGGAACAGGGAAGTTTTTGGTATCATGTCTCACATGAAAGATGGATAGTGATGCAGGCTGTGAGGAGACCCGAGGCAGGGACAAGATCTGCAAGTGGTGTTAGAGAAGGGAGAGCTCAGAGGGAGCTGGGGAAGCACATGGCTTTGCAGGTGGATTTGTGTCTGGTCCTAATGAATGAGAAGAAATAAGGCAGCCAGAAGGCAGAGCTTTGGGTTCTCCTGGAAGAAAAAGGGTCGAGAAGTCAGAGGGGCACAGAAGAAATGGCCTGGGCTGGAGTGGAGAGGTTAGGCTGGGAGATAGTTGTAGAAGTGGCTGAGAGAGGGGGCGTGACTTTACACAGGGTCTTATGAAGCCATGAAGGCTTTTGTGAGCAGAACATCAGCACCGTGGTGTCATTTCTAAAGGACGAATCTGGTGCACTCAATGCTCTGGAAGGGAGAGTGATGGGTGGGTGATGCTTGGGGAGCTGCTTAGTGAGTAGAACTGAAGTGGCACCCCCTTTCTCCACAGAAAAGCCCTATTCACTGTGGCTGATTTTAGGACTGTTAGCAAAAGAGTCCAATGTAGATAAACTTCGTATTTTCGTGTTGCCCTGTTTACTTGGCCACTGGCCGAGAAGATACTAGCACTCCAGGTGCTAGACACCTCCTTACTAGTTTTTCACAAACATATCCAGTATAGTACTTTGTAGAACTGTGCAAACAAGGCCTCTGGCCTTGAGCTGGGCTTCACAGAGATGTCTACATTTTTCAGATAAGTTACAAATGGGCTCCATGGTAACAGCTGGCAGGGGGAGGAAAG